CCAGATATAGCCAATCATAGTCAGAATCTTTTGACAGAACTCTTGATCAGTGGTCAAGGATGTATAGGGAATACCTAGAATAGTGATGTTTGCATTATTGAGAACCGATTGTATAAAGGACCCATATGACAGAGTGGTTCCTCTACCAGAATCCTTTAGCGAATAGATTCGACTAGCAATGTAATGAGGCCAGTTGATCTTGATCTTTTTCTTAAAGATGTAGACCGAGTGAACCTCAGCTTGATCCACCCGTGAGTAGCCACCTTTCTTGGGACATAATATGTGCGACACAATCCTGTGTAGAAGACTCTAACTAAGTCTTCATTGTATTTGACGTCACATTCCAAAAAAATTGTTAAAATCTTGTGCATCCAAAAGATCAATCACCTCTTAGATATGCATTCTCTCATCAACTTTTCTATAGTAAACATGTTTCTTAACTATAGATTGTTTGCTAAAGTTTTTCTCATAAATTTATGAATATTCAGGAGGTAATAGAGAGATAGAAGTTATCGGTAAAGTTGCTCTATACGGGTCGGCTTTACAAACATGAAAAGTTGCAGTTTTGTGAGTCGACCAGAATCCTATGTAGGTCGACTCATACAGTTAAAAATAGAAAAAATCATTAATTTGGTTCAACAAGCATCCAAGAAGACATAAATAAATAGCATACACATTTTTTCGAACATGCAAAGGGATGAAACATACTTAATCATGGAATACACATCAATAACAACACATTGCTTGATACATTAATTTACATGAACGAGGTGAGTGCGAGAGTTTGCAAATAAGGAAAGATAGTACCTCAACTCTAATTGATAGCTAATTCCCTCACATATGGCTCTATACTTCTCCATTTGTTAGATAAACGGAAGAACAAAGCGCACACGCACACGCACACACGCACACGCACACACACACCCCCCCCCCCCACACACACACACACACACACGCACGCACACACACACACACTCACACCCCCCCCACACACACACACGCACACGCACGCACGCGCGCACGCACGCACGCACGCACGCACGCACGCCCGCACGCACGCACCCGCACACACACACACACACACACACACACACACACACACACACACACACACACACACACACACACACACACACACACACACACACACACACACACACACACACACACACACACACACACACACACACACACACACACACACACACACACACACACACACACACACACACACACACACACACACACACACACACACACACACACACACACACACACACACACACACACACACACACACACACACACACACACACACACACACACACACACACACACACACACACACACACACACACACACACACACACACACACACACACACACACACACACACACACACACACACACACACACACACACACACACACACACACACACACACACACACACACACACACACACACACACACACACACACACACACACACACACACACACACACACACACACACACACACACACACACACACACACACACACACACACACACACACACACACACACACACACACACACACACACACACACACACACACACACACACACACACACACACACACACACACACACACACACACACACACACACACACACACACACACACACACACACACACACACACACACACACACACACACACACACACACACACACACACACACACACACACACACACACACACACACACACACACACACACACACACACACACACACACACACACACACACACACACACACACACACACACACACACACACACACACACACACACACACACACACACACACACACACACACACACACACACACACACACACACACACACACACACACACACACACACACACACACACACACACACACACACACACACACACACACACACACACACACACACACACACACACACACACACACACACACACACACACACACACACACACACACACACACACACACACACACACACACACACACACACACACACACACACACACACACACACACACACACACACACACACACACACACACACACACACACACACACACACACACACACACACACACACACACACACACACACACACACACACACACACACACACACACACACACACACACACACACACACACACACACATACATATATATATATATATAAAGCATGTGATAATGATTTCCTAAACACGATCCGAGATGTCGAAAACACCGAGTTCCCTACAGATATGAAAGAAAGGCTCTGTAGCGAGTGGTTTTGTAAAGATATCCGCAAGTTGATTTTTAGTATCAACGTGCTCAAATACCACATCACCCTTCTCCACATGATCCCTAAGGAAGTGGTGGCGTATTTCGATATGCTTGGTATGTGAATGTAACACAGGGTTCTTGGTTAGGTTAATGGCACTAGTGTTATCACAAAAGATCGGAACACGATCAAGTTTTAGATTAAAGTTGTGCAATTGTTGCTGAAGCCATAAGATTTGAGCGCAACAACTATCGTCTGCAACGTATTCCGCTTTGGCTGTTGACAAAGCAACGAAAACTTGCTTTTTGCTATGCCAACTCACCAAAGAATTTAAAAACAGATGACACGCGCCACTTGTGATTTTCCTATCCGATTTACAACCAGAAAAGTTGGAATCAGAAAAGCCAACCAAGGAGAAATCATTACCCTTAGAATACCAAAGCCCATACTTTGGAGTACCAGAGAGGTATCTAAGTATGCGCTTCACAACTTTTAAGTGAGATTCTTTAGAACATGATTGACACCTCAAACACATGCAGACACTAAACATAATGTCAGGTCGAGAAGCGGTAAGATAGAGGAGAGATCCAATCATACCTCTATACTTTTTCACCTCTACATCCTTACCATTTTCGTCTCGGTTGAGATTTGCACACGTAGGCATCGGCGTATCAATAGCCTTGGAATTTGCCATGTCAAAACGCTTGAGAAGCTCAAGACAATATTTTGTTTGGCTCACAAATGTACACTCTTTCAGTTGTTTGATTTGGAATCCGAGGAAATAGTTGAGCTCCCCCATCATGCTCATCTCGAACTCTCCCTGCATTAATCTAGAAAACTCCCTTACCATATTCATGTTAGTTGATCCAAAAATAATATCATCAACATATATTTGTATCAAGATTAAGTGTTTTCCTTGACGTTTAATGAAAAGGGTTGTGTCGACCTTTCCTCTTGAGTACCCTTGATCAAGAAGAAATTTGTTGAGACAGTCATACCAAGCCCTAGGGGCATGTTTAAGTCCATACAAAGCTCGTTTTAATTTGTAGACATGATCGGGATACTCATGGGATTCAAACCCAGGAGGTTGGACTACATAAACCTCTTCATTTATATATCCATTGAGAAACACACTTTGTACATCCATTTGAAATAATTTGAAATCTTTCGCACAAGCGAAAGCAAGCAGAAGGCGTATAGCCTCGAGTCGGGCAACTGGAGCATAAGTTTCCTCATAGTCGATTCCTTCCTCTTGGTTATACCCCTGCGTGACCAAATGCACCTAATTTTGAGTAATAACTTTGTTTTCGTCTAGTTTATTCCAAAACACCCATCGGCTGCCAATTACTCGATGGTCTCGCGGAGGATGGACAAGGTCTCAAACCTCATTTCTTTTAAACTGATTAAGTTCCTCTTACATTGATAGGAACCAATGTTCATCGAGTAATGCCTCTGTCGCACCATGATTTTTGAACCAAAGATTGCGTGTTTTTCACGACTAACAAGTGTGTGCAGGTATTTTGATTTCAAGTAGAGACAATACTCATTCTCACAGTCAAACATTTCAAGGCATGACTAGTTGATCCTGACCTAAGGTCATCCTGAGGTTTCTTCTTAATGTGGACTCCACTTTCGAGAACTCTTTCTTCTTAGGCCACTCTTAGATCATTGCTTTGAGATTGTTTTGAATAGACTTTCTAGCTATACCTCACCAAAATCAAGATCGGGCTTCGGTAGTTTATGGATCAAGGGAACCTTAGGGTAAAGATGTTAGAACGTGTGGTTAAAGCTTCGTCATTACTTCAACTGAGAATACTTGGAATTAGGCTTTGTTTTTTTTCAAGTCATTTCTTTGGCAAAACAAGAAAGGGCTTGTTATGACCATAGATTTGCCTGAGATGAAAGGCATGGGTGATGGTTCAAAAGATAAAATTGTGGGTTCATTAAGAGTAAGGTTTCATCGCTTTCTCAAACACTTGTTCCCTAAGTGTAAGATGATTTGGATTTGGGATTAAGATACCCATTCAAGTGTGAGTCAAGTTCAATATTTAGAAGGTGACCAAGTAGTAATTTTGTTTATGGCATCAAGTTTGATTCATTTAAAAAGTTATGTTGGAACTCACCCAAGTTACAATATGTCTCATTTTTTAATCCATTTAATTTTGCCAAGAGTTGATTCATGAGAAAAATCATCATTTAAGGAGTTTTTTTTTTGCGGTTCGCATCATTGTTTTAATTCTAAATTTAAAGAACAAGATCTCAATACAAGGTGATACAAGTCAAGCTCAATTTAAACCCGTTCAAAACCAGCAAGGTATTTGCAAAAACCCACAAAATCTCATAAAACTCTCGATTCACCTATGCAAATTTAAAGATGCCAATGGCAAGTTATTGTTACAACAACAAGGTTTAGAATTACAAGTCTTGTTATTTTTCACGCCATTCCACTCCTAACCGTGGCTTTCACCATTGTCAGCACATCTTCAAGAAGTTATGATTCCAAATCTTTATTGAAGAGCGTTGAGCATGTCCTAGTCTTTTCTTGCGAAGACTAAAATCAACACGAAGGCATATCAACATGACTAGCAAAGAGGAGATTAATGATGGTAGCTACCTATAACAGTGCTAATAATCCCCAATATACCGCTCACACCATAACAAGAGATTCATAAAAAGAAAAAATAAACAATGATTGTCAGTCACATGCAGAATTTGAGAAATTGGCCACCGGAGATGACTTTGTCCTTGGCCCTCGAATACCCGCATGATATTACACCATATGACACTAAAATTTTCCATTCTTTTTTGCTACCCCTGTACCCGGTTAACATTCCACTCCCATCACCACAGCTTGATCTAAGGACTCTTTTTCACCACCTTCTACTCGGAGCACCTCCTGGAAGTCGACGTTCAGCTTCACAGACAACCAAGAAACACATAATATATATCATTCAACCTTATCACACTAAAAGAATTGGCAGGGCAGAAACTACCAATTCGACATATTAATTCAACCTTAAGCATCTACAAAAGAAAACTCCTCTAATCTATATCAGCCTGTTTGCTTCCCAACAACACCCGCAAACCTGCCAAACCAAAGAGGAAACACATCAAGACATGTTCGAACATGTCGTATGGAAATGAATTTTTACCACACGAACAATACAAACTATCATTGATATCTAGTATTTACATCAAAGAAAAGAGGTCTAAGATCACCCTTAAGAAGAAGAGATATGCAAGAAATGAAGAGATTACTGCCTCTAAAACACACTTGCAGCCGCATACACGCATGAACCGCCACGCTAACCTTGAAACAGGCCCCACCATTCAACCCACTTTGGCCCAAGGCATTGGAGATGGATGAAGAATATAGAAGAAATGCAAACCTGAGCCATGATGAACAAAAAGAGATACGTTGATTCATGATTCATAAAAAATCAATTAGTTTCTTTACAAAGCAGTCCAAAGAACTGGTTGAAATAAAGAGGGAAAGTTTTCAATCTGTCCGCAAGTATGTCGATACGAAAACGGAAGTACATTCATAACCAAATCATATTTTTAAAGCGACATATACCATTCCCAAACAGGTTTTAGACAACATCAATATCCTCCTAAGACAAGAATCGACAAGAAATTTCTCGCAATTAATTTAGGATCTGCATGAGTCCCTATAAAACCACAATTACACATAAGGCATTAGAGGGGGGATTTTAGAGAAAAAAGATCTTTAGAAACAAATACATCCACACATATAACAGAGGGATAAATCATACCAGAACACAATTTCTCACAGCCCACACACAATAACAATAACAATGATCATGAGGGATTGAGGAAAAGCAAACCTTTGAAACGAGAAGAAATCGAACGGGTAGCAGCCTCCTTGACGTTAATCTCAATCGTCTCTACAAAACCACATTCAGCACCTCACCTTTGTAAGCTCACCTAGGATCACATTGCTCGAACCTCTCCGCGTCGTCACTTCCATTTCACCGGACTTTAAACAGATTTGAGGTATCCTCTTTCCTTAATTTGTGATATCGTTGGTTTTCTATTGACTATATCGTCCGGGGTTTTGAAATTTCGTTTCATTGGAAGAATTAGGGATTTAGCAGAGAGAAGGATAGTCGAGGGAGGAGAAAGGTTGGGGGTTGAAGTTGACCATTACTCCCTCCTTTTGAAGGACCTTATTGGGTCGGTTATGAAGGCAACTTGGCCCACTTGCCATTATTTATTTATTTATTTATTTTGTTCCTGATGATCCCAATTGAGTTGTTCTTTAATCCCATCAGTTTTGTTGAAAAGAAAGACAAACCACACCGCCTGCTTCAATTTATGTTAAATTATAATTTGTTGGTATGTTAAGTGTCCATTGATAGAAGTTGATTATGTTTTTTATTTTAATTAATTAGATTCTAACTAAATTTTATTTTGTAGGATATTGATTACTTTGTGATTAAGATTTCTATTGAATCATGATTTTTTTAGAATGCTAAGTGTTTTTAATTGGATTTTTTTATTATTAATGTCATTTTGCAGAAATTACTTGTTCATTTTAGATTGTTGTCTAAAAGTTAGAATCATGAGTTTTTTCCTCCGTCTAAAGAAAAGATGTCATTTTCGTGAGGAATTGTGATTAACATGAGTTTTCAAAATCTTTATATGCTCGTTTGCCCTTTGATTTACAAGAATTCATGATCCACTCTTAGTTTCGATAGCCTGAACCAAGTTAGTTCTCAAATTAATTATCCCATTATAACACTAGGCTAGAAATTCCTCTTTGCGATCTCGACCTTGTGATCTTTTTTTTAGCCTAACCACCTATGTTGATTGCCTTTTTATTTTGATAATTATTTATTGGTCATTAAATATTTATATTTGCATATGCTAGGTCCAATGGCAGAACTTGTATATGGTCTCATAAGTTGTATATATTGCATTTTCATTTGCACCTTTTTCCCCACTCGATCCCTGACTTTTCAGGTTGATCAGCTTAGGTCTCCCTTTATCTTTAAGATAGATGCCCTTAAGATTTCAACTTAGACGACTTATCAATAAATTCAATCCTTTATTCTCCCCACAAGAGAATTAGACGTGATTCATCTATGTAGTCGACGTGTAACTCTCTTACCCCATAATAAATTGAAAGAAAGATGTAGAATATTTTTCGCTTGAGAGAAGTATGTGGCGCATTCGTCGATAAAAATTCGAATTGGAGCTCTTCTCTCAATGTGACGCAAAGACCATCTTCCATACGCTTGTGGTGGTTAAGTCGAGTTTTCTCCCTAAGATGACGACTCGTCTCTTCTCCTAGTATCATCAACAAACCTTTCCCCCTGGAACTTTGGCCATAGCCAATGGTTCCTCAATCCCTTTAGGGGAACTATGAATACTCTGATTTCATTCCCGTCAGGATACGTAGGCACAAGATTCATTTCTTGGCGAGTATACTTAGAAATAAACCCCATAAGTCTTTTACCCTTAGAAAGCAACAATGACACAATAAAACAAGAGTTTCATGTAGAGTACTACAGATGCCTAGGATGCTAGCACCTTCCCTATGTATAACCAACCCCCGAACCTTAGATTCCCTAGCTTTGCATTGCATTGCATACTCATGGGTTATTCGATCTTTTTCCCTTCCCTTGGATAAATTAGAGACTGGTGGTAAATAATGATTTACGATTCAAGTTAATTAATAGCTTGATATCCAATTCTCACCGTGACAGAAATGGCGACTTCACTGGGGAACCACTTGAGTTTATCTATATATGTGTTTATGCTTTGGGTCATTATCTTTGTGTGGTGAGAAAGGTCCTACACCCAGACTTGAGTGAACTTATGTGTTTATGCTTTGGGTCATTATCCTTGTGTGGTGAGAAAGGTCCTACACCTGGACTTGAGTGAACCTATGATAGGAAGGTGATATATTTGAGAAGGCTTATAGGGAGTTGATTCCTGACCAAGCTGACTCGTGAATCGCCGCTCAGTTGAGGCCCTCTTGAGAATGGTACTGTTGAACGAGTATTTGTGAAACACTTACTATTTTCGACCTAGGAGCCTGTGATACTAGGAACCATTAGTTACCCTTAACTCAACTTGGCCTTTCTCAAGACGTAGTGCGATAACTATAAGGGAGTAGTCCCAAAGTAGTTGATACGCGATGCTACACTTAAAAGAGGTTCTCTTGAGAATATTATTAACTACCAAGTATTTGGGAAATTGATAATATCCGAAAGATGGGCTGATGATTTTGGGAACCTTTTAGAACCCTTGTTCTGCAGGTACATTCAACCCTTAGTCCATACCATTTGGGGATGGGTAGACCCTTTACTCCATGCTCGTTGCTTACAAACCTAGGTTTTCTTATTTGTTTGTATATATGTATCTTTGTGCATCTTTGCTTGCCTGTGTTTGTGCATCCCTACATTCATAAGCATCATATTGCATTGGTTTCATGGAATTCAAAATTTTATTTATAAACATCTAAGGACCGTTATGGATTGCAAAAGGAAAAACACTTTAAAATATTCTTTCAAGAGTCTTAAATTGGATGACCTAAGGAAGTTAGGAGCTCTGATTGACGATCAAGAGAAGTTCATAAATAAGTAAGGGAAGCTTTTATCATTATTGAAGGTTAAGGTGGATAGTGGACTTCTTTCTGCCCTACTACAATTCTATGATCCAGATTATCACTGCTTTACTTTCCCAGATTATCAGCTTAACCTTAGAAGAGTCTTCCCAGTTAGTTGGTTTGCCCATTTTGGTGGAGTCTCATTTCCCTTTCTTGGAGAAGGACCCTAAAGAACAAGACATTGCCAAAGCTATATATCCAAAGCTATAAGATATCAAAGGCAATATGATTACTAAAGGTGGAACTTTTAGATTAACAACAGACTTCCTGATCAAGAAATCCCAATATTACGCCGATCACATAAGCATGAACACATTTGAAGCAATCCTCGCCTTACTTATCTATGGAGCATTCCTGTTCCCAAACTTTGAAGGATTCGTTGACCCTAATGCCATTAAAGCTTTCATGAAGAACAATCCAGTACCAACTTTGCTTGCTGATGCTTACCATTCAGTTCATCTCCGAAGTTTTCATGGTGGAGGAATGATTACCTGTTGCATACCTTTATTATATAAGTGGTTTATTTCACATTTGCCTAAGTCTTGCTCCTTTTGGGATCTCAATAAAGGACGTTGGTCATAGAAGAGAATGCTGAACTTCAGAAACAACTTCAGCTGAAGAATGAAGAATCACTTTCATGCAAGAAGAGAAAAGCACATGAAGATTTATTTTCCTCTAACCCTCAGACTAATCCTTGGAAGCGAATTATACACAAGCTCATCTTCGAGAAGGCCCAGCTGGAAGAGCAGATCAAGGAGCAGAATACAAGACTTCCTTAGGGCTTTATTTGCTTTTATTTAGCTGTTATTTTAAGACTCTTTTAAGAATATTTATTTGTAATCCGTTACCAAATAATAAATAAATTTCTTTTGGTATTCCATGACATTTATAAATACTTGAATTCCATGAAACCTTCTATATTTTCATTTCTGCATTTTGATTTCTCTAACCCTTCAAGAAACCCAAATTGTTTTCAGATATTGTGAAATGGATTTTGGAAGAAGAGAAACATTGAAGTACACCTTAAAGAGCCCAAAAATTGAGAGCTTAAGGGAACTAGGAAGTCTAATCAACAACCGTCTAACGTTCTAAGATGAATATAGAAGAATCTTTCTATTTTTCAGACTCAAGATGATTGATGGCTGCTAGACACGCTTATCCAGTTTTACGATCCTCTTTACCACTGTTTCACTTTTCCTGATTATCAGTTGATGCCAACTTTGGAAGAGTACTCTGTATTGATGGGAATGACCGTCACACCTCGACCTCTGTTCTCTGGATTGGAGGACACACCTAGTGATCAAGAAATTGCAAATGCTACATGCCTGAGTGTGACTGACCACCAAGGAAGGAGTCCTTGGATTTCCATTTG